ATGCATGCCACCAGCTCCCAGAGGGACAAACCCCCATGGGCAGGAGGCACCAGCACGCTGGACTCAACACCAAGGCAGAGCTTTGGGTTCTCTCCCAGAGCTTTTTGGAGAAAAGCCTCTTATTTAGAAACCCATCTGATGGATGCAGCTGGAGCATCACTCCCTCCCCCAAGGCACTGGTGCGAACTGCAGTGGGGGCCGGGAAGAGGAGTGGGCTGGGGGCTGGCAGGGGACAGGGGTGCTTTCCCACCCTCATCCCATCCCTCACTCACCCTGGATGTTCTGGGGGTTGTCAATGACAAAGTTCCCATTCCAGACCACAGACAAGTTGACTGGCAGGGCACTGATGTCGTTCCCTTCGTAGAAATACTGCAGAAGGGGACAGAAGGAGGTAGAACCTGTTGATTAGTGGCGCAAAACACCCCAGTGAGGGGTATGGAGAGGCGTACGACCCCGTCACATGGATGTCTCCCAGAGGAGAGGGATGGGGATCTGGTTCAGAGTCACTGGCGAGGAACAAACAAGTCTAACAGCCACTGGTCAAAGCATGGGACACAGCACATACAAACCAGTAGGTTAGACTGGGAAAAAGTAGATAAATCAGCAAGAAAGAGGGTTTCTAAATAGACCCAAAACCCATGAACCCTGGGAGAGGAGAAAACAGACAGTGTCTCTGCAGCACATGCATACCTCTCCCTGACAGGCACACGAGCCCTCCCCCATGTCCTCCCCCCTCAAGGGATGCTGAGTCAGATGTTTGGGATCACGTTCGGGATCACACTCATCACTAGTGGAGCTCAGGGAGGACACACTGGGCACATGGCAGGAGCAGATTCAGTAGAGCTGGTGGGATGATGTCCCCAGTAGTACCCTCCACCCTATCACCCATAACACAATGACATAAAGCTGCAGCCACACAGCCACAGGCAAGACAGCTCCAGGGGACCCCAAACTCAGGCCCCAGCACCCACTGCTGTCCAGATACACCTCTGCTGCTCCTTCCAGCCCAGCCAGTGCCTCCTCCTCACCCAAACCCCTCTCCCCTGCTTTGACACCCAAGCCCCAGTCCCGGCAGCCCCATCAATATTCCCCGCACAGCCCCTGCACACAGGCAGAGAGGTTTAATCGATACGGAGGCAGGAAGGCAGTCGGAACCGTCCCTGACAGCTAATGACCTCCTTCGGCAAGAGATTCCCCGCTCCTCGCCCGAGAAAATGACAGGCGTGTCAGGAGAGATTAAATGAATGATTCATGGGTTGCTGGAGTTTGTTAGGGAGCGGCGGACGCGTCGGCAGCAGCTCACTTGGCCGCGGGCTGGCCGCAGCCCTGCCACCACCTCCAGACATCCCAAGCGTCACCTTTCACAGCCCCGGTGCAGTATCTGGAGGAGGTGGCCTCAGCATCTCCTCCAGCACTGCCCCAGCTGCTGCCCCACAGAGCACATTTGCCCCCTGCCAGCTCCAGGGACTGTGCCAGTGGGTCTGCTCTGCTCAACCTCCTCCACAGGAGACAGGGACATGGCCCACAAAGGAAGCCAGAGTGCTCAGATGGCTGTGGGAAGCAATAGATGCTTGGGTTCTTCTCGTCTCACCATCAAAGCTGGTCCCTTCCATGCTGAGTCTCTCCCAACCAGGCAGCTTCACCAGCCACAGCCCAGCATCAGACACGGCACCAAAATGGGGCAGAAGCCTGATGTGAGACATGGTTACAGCAACACATCCCTCCCTCAACTCTACAAGGTGCAAATGAGAGGCCAAGTCTGGTCCCTGGTTACACCTCCACAGCTTTTGGCTAGCAGTCCTATGCCCAGGGGCCACCCCACCTCACAGGGTGAAGGACCCCAAAACACAGACCTCCCTGGGGAGGAAGGCTGCTGCTGATCATCTGTATGCAGCAGCTTTAAGGCATAAGACATCCAACTGCAAACTCAACCCTTTCTTGAGCACTCAACAGCTCCACCACCATCTGTAGGAAGAGTCCCATCACCCCCCACCACACAGCCTCTCAGACATGGCACCTCTCACCATGGCTGAAGGTCCTCTGAGACATCTCCACCACACACCGTCCAGAACCAGAGCTTCTCAGCAACATTCCCATCACCAGGCCTGGGAAGATGGAGCCAGAACTAGACTCGCAGTCCAGATCTGTTCACCTTCCCTCATCCTACACCCACCCAAGGATATTGCCAACAGGACCATGATGAGGAGCCAGCCAGACCCACAGCAGTGAGCAGAGACCATCCCCTGGCAGCAGGAGGGAGCGTGTGCTGGAGAGGGCGGTGGCAGTGCGGAAGCAGAATTTAGCTGTGACGAGCCACGTGGCAGCGTAAGTGAAATTGGCATTTTCAATTTGTACTCTGACATGTCTCATTTGGGGCCCTGGCATCTCGGGAAGGCATCCAGCCTGCAGCTGTCCAAAACACTTATTTGCATCTCTCTGCCCCGGTTGCTTTTGGAAATTAGTTCTTCTGGGAGGTGGGTTGGAGGAAGAAGAATAGGGGGAGAAGGAGGGAGAGTATTAACTCCTCATGCGCCAGCCCTGAGCCAGCAACAGGGCAACTGCACGAGAGACAGTGTCCCTCTGGAAAAGGACACCGTGCTGAAGGTGCTGAATTTGCCACAGCGTGGGGCTGGAGCAGACAGTGGGGAGCAGCAGGACTGTGTGGAAAGAAGCAGTGGGCAGGAGCAGGAGTCGTTGTCCTGGATGGTGTTTGCAGCACAGGATCACCAAGGGAACATGGATATCAATGAAAAACGTGCCCTCAGCGTCTGCATGTCTGTCTGCAGCCTCTCATCTGCCCTGCAGAGATGGGCAGCAGGTCCTTGGCTTGGATGCTGTTACTGGTCCACGTAGGATGCTGGAGTCATGGCTCGGCTGTGTGCAGGCAGGAGCTGCGGCCGCAGGGGCTCAGGACTCAGCCTCCCGGGATGCTGAGATCCACCAGATCCCTCTCTAATTTACAAGGCACTTCTTATTTTGAAGGACATTTTCAAAAGGCCTCCTCGCAGCCACTCTTGCCATAGAGTGGGCAGGAAGGTGCCCTCTGCATCCACAGCCGGGGAGATGGCAGCACCCAGGCCACAGCAGATCAGCAAAACAGCAGCCACCTTGCAGCCCTGAAGGTCCCACAACCGGTGGGGATCAGGCAGGGGCAGTTGCTTACCAAACTGTCCATCCTGTGGGATCCAGATGAGAGCCCATGGACAGCCAGCAGGTCCCATCACACTGGCTCCTCCTGGCTTCTAGCTAACACGGGGCTAAACATCCATTAAACACTTAACTGTTATTAACTTGCCAGTTAATCAATCGCTGTGGCTGGCAGCGATCTGGGACCAGCCCTGGGAGGGGAGGGAAGGCCAGGGCGGGTGTGAGTGGGGAGATGCTCCTACTCAGGCAGCCTTACTAGGAGACCCCCCTTCCCTCCACAAAGACACCCAGGATCCCCCCGCTGTGCCAAAGGATGATGCAGTACAGTGGCAGCCGTGAGGACAATTTATGGGAAAGGGATGTTTGCTCAGGGAGCAAAAAACAACAGGCACAGCCCTGAGAGCAAACCAATGGCACCCAGAGGAGAGAAGCGTGCTCCAGCAGCATGGCCCACAGAAGGGGATGGGAGAAAAGATGTCATTGAGTGAGTCAGCAACAGAGATGTGAGCTTCTTGGCTCCTTACTGAACCCAGCCAGCCTTTCCATCCCTCTCTGGAAGAGCCTACAAGGCAAGTGTGGAAAGGCCGAAGGAGGATGTGTCAGGTCCACTGATCTGGATATGGCTATTCCCAGCCAGGTCTCCTTCTGCAAGGACATGGTTCAGGCAAGAGGACTCCTCACCAAGCCTTTCTCAAGGTTCTTCACCCAAAACTAACTTCAAGCATCTTCCGAAGTAACAGCCAACAACCTCGTGTGCTTCTCACAGCTCCAATTCTCACACCCACCCCAACCCCACGTGGAGGATGCCCACCTGCCCGGCACACTGCGAGGGCTGTGGGTGCCACCTCCCCTGAAGGTCTTGCATTCGATCCTGGCAAGCTGCTGCTCCTCTGCCCACTGGCAGTGATGGGCACCAAGAGCTGCCCAGCTCCCCTTGGGCTGAAGGATCCAGCACACAGAGAAGGTGCCTCCAGGGAGCCGCACTCCCAGGGGACAGAGCCGCAACCAGCGAGGGGGCACTCCAAATCTGGGGGCAGATTGCACTGAGATGCACTTTGAGATGCTTCTACAAGCAACATGCCAACTAGCCAAAGGCACTAGCCCTTCCCAGCCTGGACGAGGCAGGGTGGCCCCAGAGCCATCACACCCCTTGCTGTGAGACATCATCCTGCTCCAGCCACCACCCACACAACCCAGCAGGTGAAGGAAGGGAGGGACCCCGCTCCCCGAGGAAGGCAGTGAAGGGGCTGCTCCTCTGCCAGCAAACCCACACATCCAAATTTCCCTCACAACCCCCCTCCCTCTCCCATGCACCATCCCCCTGGGCTGCATTTCTGGAGGAGCGCTTAGGCTGCAGCTGTGTCCTATTTTTCTGTAGTTGATGACCTCAACTCCTTCCCCGCACTACGGGGACGGCAGTAATGTACATCGCGTCTCGCCAGGGCTCAACTGCAATTCATCATTATTTTATCTGCTGGAATTTAATTGGATCCTATCAAACTCTCCTGATACTCCCTTTTCACTTTAAACACTGCTGCAGGAAAGATAAATGTAGGCACTGCTAAGACGGAGAGCACGGCTTGGCTGGCAAGTGGTGCTGGGGTTGTGGGCTCCAATCCTGTTTCCCTCTCCATGGCTGGTTAATTAGAGATACGTATACTGGAGGTGTGCAGCACTCAGAACAGGGCACGTGTGGATGATTTATGTTCCTCTATAAATACACCCTAGGCCTGGTAAAATACCATCATCCACACAACAGCACAACTTGATAGTAACGCTTGGCCTCTGATTCTGGATCTCCTTTTGGTCTTTTCACACAAATCTCCTCCTTTCCTCCTCCATCACAAATAAGCTTCTTCACCTGGATTCCTCCTGCCCAAATCAGCAGGGTGTGAGAACCTAAGACCCTGGGAACACATCAGAGCAACACCCAGGCTCCACCGTGTACAAAAACACTCAGAAAGAGTAAATCTAGCAGGTTTTGCTGACCTTTCCCAGCAAACCTGGCAGGGGCTAGGCATCCTGGCCTCAGCATCAGCAGCTCTGGGTACCACTCATGCCAATCCCACCAGCCCAGCTTGCTCTGCATCCATATCATTTTGTCATAGGAACAAACTGCCCCGTGCAGCTCCTAGGCAAACATCCCAACTGAGCCTGGCCGGAGGGGAGAGACCTCCGGAGCCACAGCCATAATGGGTGGGCGAGGTGGGCTGCCTGTGCCCAGGGGATCGGCAAGGAAGGACCCAAAAGGGAGCCAGGGAGGTGACACAGCTGCTCCTCACCACACAGGACTTTGGTTAAAAGGAAACGGAAATAATTGAGGCGTGAGGCTTAATTTAAAGTGCTGAGATGACAAAGTCAAGTGCTCATGGAAAGGAGATCAAGGGTTCTTCCTATTTTTATATTTAAAGG